AAAATCAGAAGGAAACAGGCTACGTTACTTTTGTTTGGATAAATAAAAATAGGTAAAAGGTACCGTTTGCCCTTTAACTTTTTGAATTTGAGGTGTTTTACTCTTCATGTTATAATATATGATTTTTTATCTTTTATATTTTTGAGTTTAGAAAAATAAGATAAAATTTAATGGTAGAAGATCACGTGCGATACGTGCATGTTAATCTCCATTATAACTTGATGTGTCAATGTTAACTCAAGATTTTTGTACATGTTGGCAAGTCCAAGTTGGACTTTATTATAATAACATAAAAATAATAATAATATGAAAAAAAGAAATTTTCTTTCTTTTTATTTGTTTTTCCTTCTCCTTTTCTTTCTTTTTCCTTTGAAACCCAACAGAATTCTTTGCTGGGAGAAGCCCTCCATGGAACCCACGCCGAAACCCAGCGCTTGGGCTCCATCCAAGCCAGGCTTGGGTTCGGTGGAACCCCCAACGGTGAGTTCCAACGAACCCAACGTTGGGTTCCATAGAACCCGCGCTTGGGTTCGTTAGAACCCAGCGCTGGGCGTTCCATCAAACCCAAGCCTAGGTCCCATTGAACCCACGCTTAGGTTCCAACGAACCTAGGCACGAGTTCGATGTAACCCAATGGCAAAAAATTTTCCTTTTTTTTTTTGTTTTTTGTGGGTTTTTTTTTTCTGTGGGTTTTATTGTTTGATGATGATGAAGAACTTAGGATGTAGAGATTGATTGAGGTGAATAGATTGGTTGAAATGTTAGAGATTTGCAGAAGTTGAAGAAATGGTTGAAAAAGGGAAGAGGAAAGTGAGGAACGAAAAAAAAAAAAACAAAATTGTTGGGGTAGAATTTTAGCTCGGCACAAGCTAGACTTGCCAACGTGTAAAAAAGTCTGAGTTAGCATGAAAACGTCAATAAATAACAAAAATTAACGATGAAGGTGCCGCATGTGACTTTTCTGTCGTTAAATTTTGTTTTATTTCCCTAAACTCGAAGACATGAAGAATAAAAAATCATATATTTGGAAACATGAAGGGTAAAAAATCATATATTGTAATATAGGGGGTAAAATGCCTCAAATTCAAAAAATTAAAGGGCAAACCGGTACCTTTTGCCAATAAAAATAAAGGGGAGGGAAAAGAACAGTATTTTTATTTAATTAAATAATTTAATAAAAATAAAATAAAAAATAAAAAATAAAAAATTTATTAATTAAATAAATAATTAAAATAAAATATTTATATACATTTATTTTAAAAAAATAAAAATAAAATAAGTTAAATAATATATTTGTTTCAATTTTTTTAAATCGAAGGGATTGAAAATAGAAGAGGAAAAGGAGTTTCATCTTCTTCATCTCGCTCTCCCTTCGTTAAAATGATTTATCTAAACAAAAAAATGTGTTCTTTCTTCTTCACACTCCATTCACTCGTTTTTAATTTTTTCAATTCAAATAAAGTGTTAATTAATAGTAAATAAAATATCCTCACCGCCAAAAGCAAAAAAAAAAAAAAATTTGTTTTTATGGCCCAAAAAAAACTTGACTCCCTTAAAATATAAAATAAAAATAATAGAAAAACAATTATAATAAAAAAGAAAAAAAAAGTTTACATTTTAATAAGCATTTGAATTTTTAGGATGCCCATCGAATCGTCCATTAAGTGGATTTTAAATTGGAACCCATATAATTGAGGACTTAATAGAAATCTTGATATTTACCAGGATTTCTCAATTTTTCATTTGACATTTTAATAATAAATATTTATAAAACTAATATTATAATCCTAACCGCCAAGGGAAAATAAATCAATCTAAAATTACTTTGGTTAATAATGAATAAATAATTTGAGATAATACTAATCTTTTGTTAATAATTATTCTTGACAAATAGCACCCTTCATTATTCATGTACGTCCATGAATTCTAATAATTTATCGCTAATTCATGTGGTTTATTTTTAGTCAAGAGTATGTTTATTGAAGCCGCCAGTCTCCTCACCCTTTCGTTTTCCCTTCATCACTGTCATTTTTTCTTGCTCTCTCTTCGTAGTCATCTCCTTTATCTTCTCGGTAGATGGCTAAGAAAGATGAATAATAAGGTGAAATTATCTTTCTTATGAGAGTTTTTCTTCATTTTGGAGTTTCTATTGAAATTATCTTGATATTTTATCACATTGTTTTTTGGTGGGAAGGAAGAAAGTGTTAAATGTGATAATTGGGTTTAGATGGATTATAGCGCTTGTTTTAACTTTGGTCGATATAATTAAGAGTGGGATCCTTAACTAATTTTTTTGTTTAGAAGCAAGCTTTTGAAATGTGATTATCTTACGATTTAAAACACCTATAATAATAAACTTTTTACATTGTAACTCTAAAACTACACATATAACGATTACTATTTAGTGATCTTTAGCATTGGCAAACTCTCAGTACTTAATTGTTCATGACTTTGTATTTGCATAGGGCATGTCTTTTGATTTTAGTGTTGTAGCTTTAGTTTTCATTAGCTTTGGTATGGATTGATTGTTCCTTAACCTAAACCATGTCTATCATAGATTTATTTGAAGTATTATATTCGTTTTTCATTAAATTTATGGCTATTTGATAAAAAAAAGTCTATTTATTTAAAATTATTATTTAATAATAATTTTTTGCAAGGCAAGTTGAATAATAAGTTTATGAAAAATGTATTTGTCAACCTAATCTTTAAAAACTTAGGAAAAGAATAATCCAAAACTATATTGAATCTTTAAAAAGTATTT